TTTTTTTTTTTTTTTTTGGTTCGTTGCAGACGTTTGAAGAAAGCCTCTTATATATAGACCTACACACACCCACACAGTAGATTTGATTGTGTCTCTTTATTATTGTGCAGCAGCTTTGATTTGAACAATTTTTTTAATCTATTTCTGCATCACATTGTGTTACGCACACGTGGCCGCTAATCGTTTTAAAAGCAGGGATGTGTGCATCGCTTTTTTCGCATATATAAAAAGAGTTCTTATTTTTCCCGCTTTCAAAAATTGTATTCCGGCACAAGTGAAAGCAAATATTTTAAATTCGGTCAAACAGTCTATTTTTTGTTTAGCGTAATTCAGCGAAATGACAAATAAATCACAGACGCTCTGATTTTGCAAACTTTTTTTTTATGATTTTTCTCTTTATCCAGAAGGCAAGGAGAGATGAAAGAAATGCCGAGAACACAAAATAAGAAGAAGAAAGTAAAGGAGTCGGCGATTTGAATTAGAAGTGAACAAAATTGGCTTTGCTTTCTTACTTTAAAAAACAAAAAGAAATACTTTCAAGTAGCGACAATAAATTACTCAAAATTTAGACGAATTAGATTTTCAAAGTGAACGGGATTTTGTGTAAGAACAACAAAAGAAATCGTTATGAATACCGATCAAAAGGTGTACACATCGACAGCGAGTGCAAAGATGGCTGCAGAAAGCACTTTTTCCCAGACCGCATGTAATGAGAAAGAAAAAAATGCTGTTAACATACAAGCGAATGAAGAACGCAAACGTCTCCATATAACACACGTCGACTCGCTGGGACCCTATTTAAAGATTAGTGGTCACCTAAACCCCGACATAATGAAGGTGGTGCGAAATCAAATTCAAACATGTTTAGCCAATTGCTACGCCATTGATCCGACATGGCCTGTGACACGTCAGCAGGCTCTACTGTTACCTGGTGCCATGTGTTTATATAAGCGTATCAATGATGGAACATCGGTCGATTTTGAATTTGTACGCGCCCGTATTAAAAACGTAATCGCTCCCAAATCTCCGCAAGCCACGCCGCAAGTAGATGTTGAAGTTATCGATTACGGTTATATGGCAACAGTGGTCAGTTTTGAGGTAAGCTTTTTTTCTCTCTTTCATTATTTCTTTTACTTTCATTTGGCGACAATAAGTATATGTTTGCAATATATATATATTTTTATATATATAAGGCGATACCCGGCTGTTTAATATGCAAGTTATGTGGTATGTGACGCCTGCTAGGGCGGTTTTTTTTCTTATATGTAATGCTCATTGTGGAATATGGGTTTTTAAATATCTTTCTATTGGGTTTGTGACATATTTTTTCTTTAGTTCCATGTATTTCGAAATATGAGTATCTTTATCTTCTAGCATTTCTCTCTCAATTTATATGAGAACGGTGCCGTCTTGCCTTCTGTCGTCTTGAATTCTAGAAATTGTAAAAGACTTGAAAACTAAGGTAAAAAAAATTTGATATAAGTATTTCCTTTCGCGATCCAAACGTAGACATACTCAATATTTCCTAACCTAAGAACAATTTACTCTAAAGAAAGTAAAAAGCGCAAAACTTTTTTTCACATTTAGGCCACACCTTATGATTTGTTGGCAAGTTTTGGATGTGAAATTTTTTAAAAAATGTTAATAAACTCAATGTCGTGCTTATATTGTATTAGCGTGTGCAGTGGATATCTAGACATTAGCTTTTTCTTGGGGTCGCATAACAATAGTTTCTCCTTTTCTTATATTTAATATAAGTTTAATAATTTCCATTGGTCTTGCAAGGCATCGTATATAACGGTAATATTTTCAACTGTAGTAAATTATTTTTGTTTGCAAAGTTGGTGAGTTTTTTGCATGCAATTTGTGTTTTCTGCATGACCGTGATTGTAAAAGTGAAAGTTATAACTTTAGCGCATAACCGGCACATGGTAGTAAAAATAAATAAGAAATTCGCATTCCTTTTGAAACGAATATATTCATATGCCCCGTTACTAGTTTTAATAAACTTTAAATAGATAATAAAATCTTAGCAAAGGGCTGGAAGATACCAAATCTATTCATAAGAGAGTCATATTTTGGCTGATAGCTTTTGAGCTAAGCACTCACTCTGCAATGAAATTCTGGTAGAATCGGAACCGGGCTTGTTTAAAATGTATGCATTTTGTAGATTAAATCTTGCTTTCTAGAAAAGCGAGCTGTTTTTTAAGTGCTTTTAAGAAATAGGTAGAGTACAACCTGTTATAGAATTCTATCTTCAACAGGATCCAGCGTAAATGTGGGTATTTATCAATAACATGTCGCGTTTTGAAAAAGTCTTCATTTCTTCATTACAAATATCAGACAATAGAATATGAAAAAATGAACAGAGAAAGGAAGCGGGTTTAATGAGAAAGAGTTCACTGCGCAGCAGTTTCCAAAGCCAATTTCGAAATATATTTATTTATCGATGCCGTTATTTAAGCGTTAAGCGCCTCTAATGAAAAATTCCCGACATGCCCCAATAACAGTCGTGTCTTAATATGTTTCATAATATACAATAAAGATATAATAGCGCCGTTGCTGCAGTCTAAAATGATAAATCCATTACCTTATTTAGTTCTTCAGTGTTTTTAACCAATCGATAAACTAACTGGAATAAAGTAATTACCATAATTATATATGCTAATATGTAAAGCAATTTTAAAATTAATTTTTCTCATTTATGTTGTCTTGAAGGATTTTTCACAAACGTTTTTCTAGTTGATATTGAAAAGTTTGTTTTTAACGTAAATATAAAATGATGTAAGGGAAATTTTAATATGCGCAGAAACCTCAGAAAACCTATATACCCCTCCTTAGCTTGAATTAACATTACCGATTCGATTTATTTATAACCTTCGCGAGGAAGCACAAAGAGGATTGTAAGTTTTTCCTTCCAATTCTTTAAGCTTAGGCACAGGGGGAATGGGAGTGGCACCAGAATCACGTAGCACCATTTTCGTATTCAGATATTTATCATCATTTAATGAATGAATGCATTCCGCCTGTTTGATGATATATTAATCCTTCTCAACCTTGCATTTACACCCTAACATCACTTAAATGAGGGTCCTATTAAGAGTTATGCGTATGTATAAGACTTCCGTTAGGATCATTTTCAACCTTATCGCCATATTTACAATAAGTTTCCCAATTGCTTTGGGCATGTCTGTCCGTCCGAAATAAGTTGCAACTAACTTTGAGAGTATTTCGGAATGGAACTGGCTTATTGGTTTATTAGATGGTTGCTGTAAGCTTTCTCAATCAAAATGGATATTTTTAGTACTTTTTGGCAAAAATAGATGCAAGATTATATTATAGATGATGGCGGTATGGCGTGCTTACATTTAATATCTAGCGTTACCACCCGTCTATAATGTTTACCTTGATTTGAAATGTTATAACAAAACAATGTAGGGGAACGTAGTCACTTACGATCAATTTTTTTCCGTAATTTCACAAGATATTTGTTCGAAGGGAAAGAGTAACTTCTGGTTTTTACACATTTAAATCACATTCGGCTTTGACTGAATTTTTCAATACCCGATCCATTTTTAAAATTTTGAGAGCATCATCCAATCGAACATGAACCTATGGCTGATTTTAGCTTATATTCGAATTCAATATAGAAATTTAATAAAAGAAAGTTTAAGGTTAAACTTAAGGCGTTAAGCAATAATGTAGGAAAAAGGGAAAACTTTTTTTGATTTTCGCCATTTACGATTGGATCCGCAGAAGAAAATGTGAAGCTTTAGTTCTGCAGACAAAGATTTCAGAAAGAAATTGAAATACTGGCGTACCAGAGTTCGTGACCAGTCAAGAATTTTTATACATCGGATGATGGGCGGATACTTACCGCCTGCTCGACTTGTTTGCTGTAGTTCATAAGGAAACGTTGCCCTTGGAAAGCGATCTTTTCGTTAATTGCTTAAGACGATGATTGCATTATGCGTTGTGCGTGGAGCGCGAAAGATAAAATTGCGAAAATTAAATTTTCAGTTGTTCAACTCTCTTCAAATCATTTTGGACTTTCAAAGATACCTACAAAGATAAACATGTAGCTGATAATTACTCCAATCGCTTGAAAACTGTGAACGTTTCGAACATGGCAATTTGTTGACACGTAATTACATCCCTGATGCAATTTTCTGGGTGCTACACTCGAAATCTAAGCATATCATAGTCCCCCTAAGTGCTTGATATACAAAAGTTATCCTTAGTTTTTTGCCTGCTAATGGATATCGACCAGAAAATGTTTTTCTCTTATTTCTTTTAAATTGATATAACGTTTATATTTTTGTTCCAGTTGCTCTTTCCCCAACAACCAGAACAACTGCAGAACATACCGGCCACGTGTTCGGAATACATAGTCCTGGGCATATGTGAAGATTGGAAAAGATCGCAATTGGATGAAATTTCACGTACGATATCCCAGCACACAGTAGACATTTCCATTATAAAAGAAGTAGGAAAAAAACTTATGTAAATTAATAATCATGTGTCTTAATATTTAATTTTTTTTATTTATTTTTATTGTTAGTTTAATCAATTTAAATTTATTATCATGAAATGGAAGGACTTTAATTTGGCTGAATATCTCATATTGCAAAAGAAAATGGGTGCTCCAATTGAAAATGATTTATTATTCGATAATTTTGAAAAAATAGTAAAAGACCTCCAGCCTCAGGAACAAAAGCAACAACAACTTCCACAAAAACAGTTTCCAAGCAGTAATAATAATAATAACAACGCTGCTATTTTCGCAAATTCCAATTTAAACAACAACAATAATAATTATCGTAAAAATCAAGGTTTAGTAGATACAATCACGAGTGGAAACGGCGGAGCTGCTAGCCCTAACAACAATTTACCGGTTAATGATGTTAATACTGTTAAGTATGGTCTGTTGAACCTTCGACGTCCCTTGGATGCCCGTTTACAACAACTACAGCATCCGCAACAATATCAACCCCTAAAGACTCCCATACGCTCTAGTACAACCGGAATCAATGCTATTTCTTCGGGCATAAGTCATTTACATAATCCGATGATGGTATGTGTGTCTTTTAAAAAGACTACGATTTACTGAAAGTTGTTCACTTGTAAACTGTTTGTTTTTTCTTTTTTTTTTTGTTTGTACGTACCAGGTCCAACATGTGTCTCAACCTTTTGGAACTGTGCGGCCAATGATGACAGGCAAGTGAAATTGTATATTAACACTAGAACTATCGACGACCTTTTCTACCATATAAGATCATTTTGATCCTATACTTTTGCCAGCTTGCCACATTCGTACAACTGAAGGTAGGAAGCTGTAACTTGGCGCGAACATCTCTTCGCCGATTACAACGATGTAACGTTAAAAAATGATACACGTCCACCATAAATGAAAAATTAAAACTACCTCGAAGAGAAAACAATAACTTTCTCATATTTTCGTCTATAACTTTCGATCCTGTAAAAATATCTCTGTATACTTTCTACCTAAATGTTCCTCAGTTTATTTCTAATTTACATAATCTCTATTCAAATGGGAAATAAATTGGAACTAAAATTTTATCGCCACTTGAGGCTGTATTAAAAAACCGATCGAAGCTATTTTTGGATTTACAGTGAAAATCATCCTGACGAAAACTTGCGTTGCAGGCTTTATGAACTGTCTTGACGGGATCGATAGTTATAGTCAAGAATATGAAAATGATGTTGACTTTCTTCCGAGATTGTTCCAATTTTTTTCATATTGCATAAGCATAAGCAATACCTAAGCCAACTTTCAGGATCTTATCTTCATTTTTACTACTATGGCAAGTATGCAAAAGCATGGGATCAAAATGATTCCTTTGGTAGAAAAAGGTCTATGTCATCAACATGTCGAAAACTAGACCAGCTAGGAAAAAAGTAATTATAGGAATTTTAAAGTCACTCAAAAAATTTTGAAAAATGACATTCTTTGTAACTGTTTCTAAGTAGATCGATCATTAAAAAGAATCAAAATAAAGTAGTCGGTAGTTTTAGTGTTAAAGATTATACATAAGTTGGAAATTAATATTGGAAATGATAACAATAATAATAACAATTGTTATTATGTTCTTCGAAAATTAAATATTAATTTAAAGTTAGAAAGAATGACATCAATCTGGCCAAACAATAAATATAAAAAAAACAAAAAAATTTTTCCATTGCCGTTAATAAGTGTATAAACATAATAAATTTTTTTCTACTTCAACAGGAATTCAGGTACAAAATAATCGCTTTGCTTATAGCGGCATACGTTATCAACAAGTGTTTACACAACAAATGCCTCATATGCCTCCCGTAAATACGCCGCCGGAGTATAATAATGGTTATCATGGATCCGTGGTATATGATAATGGAGTATCAAAATTTAATATGTATAAACCGCGTTACCAAAGACCATCCCATGCAATGGCTATAATAAAAAATCAGGAGGATTATATCAAGAGAGCTACTTCTGCCGGTCCTGCGACACCTCCATTGGCGTCCGCTCCTCGTCGCTTTACATCAGCCACTTTCAAATCGAATAGTTTAACTGTAGGTCAGATGTACGATGTGAGCGTGAGTTTTGTAGAGAATGGGCCGTTTCTATTTTCGGTTCAACTAGTAGGCGCTCAAAATGATCTCACGGATATGATGAATAAAATTGAGAAAGTAACCCTTAAACAATTTTCCGAGAAGCCTATGCTTGGAACTGCATGTATAGCTCGCTATTCCGAAGACGGTCAGCTCTATCGTGCTTTGATAACCGGCGTTCAACCCTTGTCTTGTAAAGTAGCTTACATTGATTACGGGAATGCTGAAATCGTGCAATACAATGACTTGTATGAGATACCCGAAGATTTTTTAACAAACAAAGCTTTTGCCATACGTTTTACTTTATCGGGCCATAAGGAATTAGAACCTATTGATGAAAGTTTAAAGAAAGCCTTCAAAGATTTGGTGATATATAAGAATTGCAAGTTAAAGGTAATGCCACTGGAAGGGCCTCCTTTAGTGCAATACTGTGAATTATATTTGCAAGAAAAGAACATTCTTGATGTATTAAAACAAATTCAGAAAAGTCGCTTAGTTTATGCCAAGGCTGAACATTTGCAAAATAACGATGTGGTCGAGATCCGTTACATAGATTCACCGAAAAATTTTTATGTGCAAAAAGTAGAAAATATACCGGCTTTTGAAAAGTTAATGGATGATATGTTTCTATACTACAATACCAATCAAATGGTTCCAAATCATTTGGTTCTGGGCGCTCCATGCATAGTGAAATATGAAAACGAATGGTTTCGAGCAGAAGTAATGAGAGCAGACTCAACAGCGATTGTAGTAAGACATGTCGACTTCGGCTATGAACAGAAAGTCACCAAAAATCTGTTAAGTACGATTGCTGAAAATCACTTAAAACTGCCTCGTCAGGCGGTGCAATGTTGTTTAAAGGGTTTCGAAAACAATGAACCGAGCAAAGACTTGGTCAGCACCCAATTTGAAATGTTGGCTGAGGAATCGAATCGCCAACGTAGATCTTTTACTGTCAAAGTATTTCGCATCCAACCGGACGGTGTTAATCTGGTTAATTTATGCACCAAAGATTTAAATGTTATGAAAAAATTGTACAAGTTGTCGATGCCTTTCGAACAATATTTGACTTTGGAGAAGGAAGACTTCAATATACGGTCTTCTCCTCCAACAAATCATAAAAATGAAAACCAAAAATTAATGAGAGAGAATGAGCATAAGATTGAGCATAAGACACCTTCCACGGCGTCATCTAGTGATGGAATTTCGGCGCAGTCGAGTAAGAAAGCTATACGCACTCTAAATTCCACCACCTTACAAAATGATGAGCGCCCTTCACAATTGCAACAGCAATCACCAAATCCTAATCAAAAGACTCAGAATCGTAATACGTTCAATGTAAATAATCCTGGGCTTTCATCACCGCCCGTCACAGGAGCCCTAGAATGGGATAAGCAAAGTTCGAACAGTTCGATAAACGACAATCGCGATTCACGCTCAAGTTCCAGCGAAGTTAAGCAACAGCAACACCACAAACGTCAAGGTCATTATAATAATAATTATAATAACAATAAAAACAATTTTGTTTCCAACAAAAACAATGGTAGCAATCATGGTTCTATTAATTCAGTGGCTAGTGATAAAAGGAGCAGCACTAGCAGTAACAACTACGGCCAACGATATCAACAAAATACTCCACCTCGCTTCCAAAATAAACATAAGAATCAGCAACAACAAAAGCAGCAACAACGCCAACAGAGATCACAAAATGCTCCTCAGGGTTACTCGCAAAATTACAACACATCCAACGCAAATATCTCACCGGCTGCCTCAACAGTGTCAGCGTCTTCTTCTCGTAGCTTACCTCAACAAAAGGAGCAGCAAACAGCAAAACAGTCGCATTCTAATGAAAATTTAGCTAACACTTCTACGGGTTCGAACAATAGCGTTTCATCCGAAGATTACATGCCTTTGAATAAGTCGTTTCCAGTACAACCTATCGATACGCCTAGCCGGGAAGAAATCACCATTTCTTGGTGGGTTTCTCCCCATCAATTCTTTACCCAATTAAGATCTCGTTTGCCTGAATTCGAACGACTTATGGCGGATATGCAAGACTTCTATCATAAGAAACCTTTGCAGTCCTTGCAGTTGAAAGTGGGCTCCCATGTAATGGCACGTCACCGCAAAGACAATGTCATTTATCGAGCGCGCATACTTGGTTGCAATCAAATGTTACGAAAGTATAAAGTTTTATTCGTTGACTATGGCAATCAATATGCCGTTACTTCCGAGGATATATGGCAAGTGGAGAAACGTTTTGCCAATTTTCCCATAATGGCCTATTTATGTGGATTCTATGGCATTGTCTCTAACTATGATCATCTTTATATGATCGATCGTATGGATCAGTATTTACCTCAAGGTGCCATATTGCAATGCGAATACATTGAGTGCAATTCGCGGGATTTGTATTACGTGAACGTTAATGTAAATAAAGTTCCATTGAAAGAAACTCTACTTGCGGAAGGTTTAATAACGCAAATTTCTCCAGGTACGCAAAAGCCAAAGCAATATACATTCTCGAGACATTTTACTAAAAGATATTTATTAACTTTCAGAACTGCAGTTAGATTTACTGGCAGGCCAACAAGTACGTGCCAAAGTATTTTCAATAAAAGATATGCTCAATTTTAAAATAAAAATTCCCTATGGCTGTGATAATATTGAGTATATTGATCTATTGTGTTCCTATGATGATATACGTTTCGTTAAATCCAATCCTGATATTTGTAAAAAGTTCAAACGCTTTTATGAGGACAAATCATGCGTGCTAAACATCAAGGATGTCAATGATAATAAAGTGTAAGCAAGAACGAAGATAATTTTTTTCTAATGCTTATCCGACCTTTTTGGTATATGTACTATTGCTTTAGAATTGTATACCAACCTAATAATGTTGGTCGGTCCTGTTCAATTTCCCACATTAGGTACACAAGAAAACAAAGCAGAGGAATGGACAGACAGGCTCATATCAAATCATAAAGGGATTATGATTCCATTGGTATCAAAAATGGTAGATCTGTCTCAAATACTTCTGGATGTTGGATGTATTCGCACAACCGCAACATGACCGCAATTGGTGCAGGATATAAAAAGAAAGAAAAAAATATTATTGAGCACTACTTTGCTCTCATGTCTCATATATCGACTACAAATTCATTTTAAAAATTTATCGGAGCACAACGAGAAATTTACAATGAAATCGAATGAAAGAAAGTCTCCGCTATAATAACAAGCCAGAACGCTACAGTCGGGTATTAGATCGTCCGCTAAATAATAATCTACGTTATAGGTACCATCATAATCTCTATCTCATGGTTATTTGTCGAAATATTCGAAAACTAGATATTGTCTTACTTTTTGTAAGAGAAGTATCAAATATCCCCAAAAATTTTTTTTTTGATATAACGACTTTTCATAGCACAGCGTTCTATGTGTAGTCGTAGTAAAAATTATCCTTGTTAGACTGGACAAAAACATATCATACTGGACCGAAAACTGCAACCTGAAAGCTTGAAGAAAGGAGAGACGAACAGGCACGACCAACGATATAAGGTGTAATTATTTGAATTGCAAATCAAATTTAAAAAAAATTTCAACATAGATTGTTGACAAAAAGTAACCACAAACATTACTTTATTATACAGGCTTATGTTACGTCCCTTGCTTCCTTTATTGAAAGAAGATATACCTTGGTATGTATGCTCGCCGCCATTATTGCTGGAGACGTTTAACGTACGGATTGTTTATGTAGCATCGCCGTATCGTTTGTACGGTCAAAACGTCGCCACTGAAGAGCAAATGTCTCAACTCTTAAACGAGATGTATGACTACTACGAAAATGAAGGTAAGTTTAATACGCTATATATAGGTTTTAAGAAAAAATACTCACTCAACTCAATCTTATGCCCATAGGAAGTCAACTGGAGTCATTTGAATTGGAACAAATTTGTGCAGCAAAAGGTAGCGATAGTAATTGGTATCGAGCTCGTATCGCGGCCAAACATCCCATAGAAGAAACTTTAGAGGTCTATTATATCGACTATGGTAATAAGGAAAGAGTTGAAAAACAATTTTTGAAACGTTTGGAAGAGAGATTCTATCTCAATCAAAACGCCCACGCTGTTGAAATCAATTTGCCTTTGAAAACTTGGGCAGCAGATACACATTCAAAACAAAAGATTAAAAAACGTGATATTACTAGCAGTAGCAATGCTAGCACTAACGATCTTGTTCCCGATATTAAGATCATTAAATACTTAAGTAAATTGTGCTTGGATCACGTGGTTCTTGTTAAAGCTTTTGAAGTTAGGCAAAATCGTCTAATGGCTGATGTAGTTATGGAAGATGGAAAAAATATAATTGACTTACTTAAGGAGAAGGAGTTTGTTAAAGGCCGTGATGTCGAATACATGCGCAAGCTGCTCGATAAGGAAAAACCTAATGTACTGGAATATATCGAAACGGTAGACTTGACATTAGAAGATGAAGAAGATAGGTTAGGCGAAGATGGAAAACATTTAAAGTCGAAAGTTCTGTCCCCAAAGAAAAAGCAAATAATGGAGAAAGAGAAAGGACCAGAACCGAAAGAAATTAACGAAGATGCCGTCATCGACAAGCGTGAAATAGATGAGCGAGAAGGATTTGCAGAGCAGTTCTCAGATACTAAAGTCGCATTACCGGTATTAGAAAGTGAAGATCAATTTGTTGGCGCAAATAAGGAGTTACCTAATATTGAGGAACCTCTTAATAACTGCATGCAATCTTCCGAAAAGCATGAAATTCTTGCTACACCACTTGTAAATAAATTGGAACTGGACCCTTTTGCGCATATGGAACTTGCTGTTTTGGCCCATTGCGATAATCCAGCACAATTTTTTATACATTCTGTGTCAAAACTTAAGGACTTGGAACGTTTGCAAGAAAATTTACAAATTGTAGCCAGTTCTCTACCTCCTCTAATGCGTATCATTAAGGATGCTTATTGCATCTCCATGTACTCAGTGGACAAGCAATGGTATCGTGCCAAGATCCTAGATCCTGAATTGATGGTTTTACAGTTTATTGATTTTGGCAACACCGATTGTATTACGGATACTACCGATCTTAAGGAGATGATTGTTTTTCCTAATATCGAACCTTTTTGTATACATTGCGCTTTGCCAATACGCCCTAACGGCACCGTTGATTGGGTGGACGCAGCAAACGCTATTTTCAATGACTCTTACAATAAAATCTTGAGCTATGAATTTATAATCCCAGGAGAAGGATATAATAAACGCAGTTTTGTTAATCTTTTCATAGATGGAGTTAATGTTGCCGAAAAACTTATAAAGGACGGTTATGCTCGACCCTTGCAACTAGTCGACTCGGGCGAGAATTGTTACATTTCTCACGTAAACAGTATCAACGACTTCTACATACAATACGAGAAGGATTCTAAGGCCTTGGAATTGATAGAAATTTATTTAGGCAATTATGAAAGTTTACCAAATATTAAGAAATTTGATTGCAATAAAGTTGTGGCAGCTTTGTTCCCCGAAGATGAAATGTGGTACCGTGCCAAGTTATTGAAGGAGATTAAAAGTGCCGATAGCAACAGTTTCGAGGTATTATTTATAGATTATGGAAATACGTCTATAACAGCGGAATGCAGAGAAATTTCGAAGGATATAGCAGAACTTCCGGCTCTTTCGCAGAAGTGTTGTTTAAAATTACCAGAGAATTGCTTAAATTGGTCAGAGAAAGCCGAAGAGAAATTTCAGGATATTGCTGCAACTGGGGAAACTATTTTCAGTGTTGAGTTACGGGAACCAGCTGCCGATCATGCTAAAGTTTATTTATTAATTGACGGTCAAAATATTAATGATGAATTGGAAAAATTATGTGAGAGGAAGCCTTCAGCCATAAATCTCGATATGAGTAACAGTTTTACTACTACTTCTCTACAAACTTCTATATACGATATGGGCGTTTTACAAGACGCCGTTGTTTCTCATGTGAATTCTCCCAGTGATTTTTATATACAATTCGCTAAAGATGCTATACGCTTAGAAGATATGGTTCAAACATTAAACAGTTTGTCGATGGAGAAATTAATAAATCCCGAAAAACATCAGCTATGCGCTGCCAAATTTGGAGAAGATCAAATTTTGTACAGAGCCAAAATCTTAGAGGTCTCACCGTCAGAAGAAGAAAACGATATCGCTTCATGTCGTGTTTTATTCATCGACTACGGAAATGAGGCATTGTCTTGCGACATAAAAATTTTACCCCAAGATTTATTGCAATTGAAGCCCTTCGCCAAACATTGCCAATTGGAAAATAGTCATAAGCTTTTAGAGCTTGGCGGTATCGCTACAGAGTCTTTCAATACGTTGCTAACCAAGTGTGATGGTTCAGTAAAGCTAGAGATTGTAGGCGAACAGGAATTTGACGCTACCAACTCATGTATTGTTGTGAGGCTGTATGCCGCTGACACGGAGGAGAATATTTTTGAAAATCTCTATAAAACATTAGGCGTCAATAACAATAATACACAGGTAATCAATACTAATCCCTTTTTAGAGAGTTTCCAAAAAACGTGTGTTATCTCGCATGCTGTCTCACCTATGAAGTTCTTTATACAATTAAAATCGAATTCTCCAAAAATGGATTTAATAACTAAAACGTTAAAAAATATGATAAGCATAGAAAGTCTGAAGCCTATAAACAGGCCTGTGGTTGGACGAGTTTGTGTAACCTATTCCACGGAAGATGAATGCTACTACCGGGGTCGTATTAGTCGTGTATTGAGTAAAGAAGAAGGGGTTGAAATATTCCTTCTCGATTATGGCAATTTTTTGATATCGCAGGATATAAAAGAAATGCCCATAGATTTATATTCTATACCTAGTTTGGCTTTAAATTGTCAATTGAATGCAATTCCTAGTGTTAGCAATGAAGAAGAAGAAAGCCTTCTAAACGAATGTTTCTTATCGCTATTGGAAACACATTTCGGCGAAATTTATGAAATTCAAACCGAACAATATGACGAAGAGAAAAAAGTATACTACGTTAAATTACAAGTTAACTATAAAGATTTGGCTGAAGAGTTGACACGAACTTTTGGACTACGTAAAGCAAATAAAATCGAAGAGACATTTTCTCCTTTACCCACACTACATAATTGCAGTGTAATCCATGTCAATTCAACTCAGTCATTTTATGTACAATTTAACGATGACATAGCATCCCTTGAACATATTACAGATGCATTGTTAGACGCTGGCGAAGAATTTCCCGTATTCACGGAACTGAAAATGGGCGCGTTATGTGCCGCTCAATTTCCTGATGATGGTGCTTACTATCGAGCAAAAATTATCAATGTCTTAGAAGATGAGGAAGTGGGTAAATGTGAAGTTCACTATTTAGATTTCGGAAATAATTCGATAACCGATCAGTTTCGTCAATTACCACCGGAGTTAATCAAAAAGGAGCGATTTAGCCAACATTGCTCGCTAGAGGCCACCTGCCCTCCGAATGAGGAGATGAATCAAACTTTTATTAATTTAATCGATCAACGTTTTTCGGAAACATTCCAATTAGAGTTTCTTAAAAAATCTGAATCGTTGAACATAGTACGGTTGTTCTATCAGGAGAAAAATATCTTGCACGAAATGCAACAATTGCTTAGAGAGCAACAACTACAATTACAAACAGCGCAAGAAGTAAACGGTTTTTTCTTAGATAAGGAAGGTAATGCAAGCGATTGAATTTGGCAGAACTTTCCAACTTGCCAACAACAACACAGCAAAAAATTAACAATTGCTTGAAGTAATCAACGCCGCAGGAATTGTGCAAATTAAGAACATAAGTAAAAAAAAAAAAAAAATGATTTAATGAACATAAAAAATCGATATAAAAAATAAAACACGAAAAAAAAAGGAAAAAGAAATCAATCTAAGATGAAAGCTTATACACCCGGAAATCAAAACTCGAAGCAGTGTCAAAAATATATTGATATATATATATATATATATATATATAGTTTAAAGCAATTAAAAATATTTTAAATAAAAAGCCTTAAATTTAGCATAGACTTGAAGTTTTGCCAAATAAACAATAATAACCAGGAACTCTGAGAACTTCTGTAAACAAACAAAGCAAACGAACAGTGAATTTAATAAGGAAAAAATATAAAAATAAAAAAAATGATTAAACTTAGAAATCATCAGATGATCGATAAAAAAAAACCCGTATTGCATTTTAAATGTGAGAAAAAAAGAAAATGATTTTCGATAAACTCTAGTTCACTAAAGTCGAGAGAGAGCTTATCTCAAAGAAAGAAAGCAATTAATCGAAATTGCAAAATACTTTCGTATATGAAAGCCTAAGGCTCGAGTAATGGAAAGAGAAAATGAATTTAAATGTAAAAACCATCTTTTTTTTTTTTTTTAAAGCCATGGGCTTAATATGTGAAAACATTTGTTGTATATTACTCCTTTTTATATATAAAAAGTACAGTTAATCCAATAACATAACATAAAATTGATGATCATCTTGCGTAAAAGTTTTCATTCTAATTGAGTTAACATCGACATTATTCACGGGAAACGTTATAAAAGAAAGTGATTATTTTCTATACAAACAAAAAAAAAAAAAAAAAAAATCAAATTAAATAAATAAATAAATTAATAAAAAACAGAAAAAAAAAAGGAAAACGAACGAACTTAGTTTATAGTAATCATCGAAAATATATAAAAATAATTTGCTCATTGTATTAAAAAAAACCAAAAGTAAATATGTAAACTTTAAATAACGAATTGTCATAAACTAATTTTTTTTTTTTTTTTTTTTTTTATAAGCCACAGAAGAGAGAAACTAAAAACCATAAAGGAGACGTTAAAAAGAAATAAAAAATAATTCTCATTAGCATCAAAGTATTTGATAAAATTGCTTAAAATAATAAAAATAAGGCAATCGCGTGCTGCTTTGCTTCTCAGAAATGATAACGGGGTATGGAGGGGGTAAAGAACGTGTAGAACGAAAAAGAGCCTGTAATCGAGCGTAGAAATGAACGCGCTGCATATTTCGTTATCCCCACTTTCCTCTATGCTCTTGAAAATTAATGTTATACTTCGTTAATATTAATATATATCAATATCAATATAAATTGGCAAAAAAAAGGAACAAAAAAAATAAAAAAAATATCAATCATAAATACTTGTAAAAGAGGAAAGAAATAAAAGGAAGATCATACCTCCTTTTTTAGCAACCATTTTTCCAATTGAAGCCAACATGATATCATTTTTATTTGATAGTAAGTAATAGGAGCGATCACACTATCTCTCTCTTTCCCCTATTAAATGAAATTCGATATCAAAGGGCTGAAAAAATCTGAATTTGGTTTAATAAAAATGAAATTCCGTTGAGATTGTGCTTCTCCCTAGTTTTTTTTTTATGTATGCATTTTTTTTTTTTTTTTTTTTAAATAATAAGCGCGACTTGTTAAATATGATTTTAAGTAATAAGCAAAAATGTTTTAAAATGTTTTTGTTTTTTTTGCTTCATGTCTTAATCTCTCGCATTCATAAATAAACTTTGTTCGAGTCTCTTGAATGGTTTTTAGGATTTCTCTGCATATTTTATATGGTTGTATAAATGATATCGGATATACTAAGTAGTTTTTTTAATGAAATTAATTTTGTTTTGTATAATTTAATAAATTTTTAATTTTTTTTCTTTGTTTTTTTTTTTTTTTAGGATTTATTAAATCTTTAATTTTTTTTCCAATATTATTTGTTCAAAATCTTAAAAAAAAAAAAAGAAAAAAAAAAGAAATTTATTATTTTGCTGTGATTTCTTCTTTCTAAATGCTAAAAACCAACTTTGTTTCTTTAATTAGTTTTGTGTTTATATATATTATACATATATAACTAATAATAAAAAAAATTTTCTCTAATTTTAATGTAACTAATGTCTTCTGAACGATGCATAATACATGAATAACATGTTAGAGACTCATTACCATTATTATTATTATTATTATTTTTATTATTATCAGGTATATAAATTTGAAACAAAATGAAAAAAGAGAAGCTTTTTAATTATGCCATTAAAAACAAAGAAAAAAAAAATTCCTTCTTTTTGTATATGAAATTTATTATAATAATAGAGTAATGATAAAATAACAAAAGAAAAACAACAACACCAATTCAATGAGGAGTGTCCCAAAATTACTTAACATTTTAATTTATTTTTATTTCATAATAAATTTCTCTTTCTTTTTTTTTTGGTTCATTGGAAAGAAATAACTTGGATTTTGTGGCATATAGCGGATTAAAGCCTTGACTGCACGCGATAATTAATGTCAGTAAATATCAGTTCATTGCGGGGACACCCTGTATATTAAAAATTAAATAAGACATATATAAAATAACACCAAAAAGAAAAAAAAACAATTTTTTGTTAATATTACTCATGAAATTCATAAATCAATTAAAAAAAAAAGCAATAAAAACAACAACAACTCGAAACTGAAATTTTTGTATTTAAATTGAAGAAAGTTTTTATATGTAATAGTTTGCCGAATCTTTACATGATATTTACGTAATTCTTATTTGAATTTTATACAACTACACGCTCCTTGAGGTCCTGTTGGCGAAACTTTAAAACTGCAATGAGAGCGAAGCGACAGATATTCTTGATTGCAAATCCAAGCTATGGTGATTGAGGGCAAATTTTTGCAAAGAAAAAAATGTACACCGTACACGTCTTGATGTACAGGATGTACTAAGTTTGTGGACACGTATGTAATTCCCAGAAAGGCGTGAGCTAGACCTACTTTTCTCTTGGATCAATTTCTGAACTCTTTGTAAATCGGTCTAAACTTGTATGTCTGTCCGATATGTGTCCATGTGTTTTTGTGTGTGTGTGTGTGTGTGTGAAAAATGGTTCGAATCGTACCACTTTTGACCACTTCCCATATACTATTTTGAAAAATGATGTGAATGTTTTAGAAGGTCGTGGCCCACTATAGTCTTTCACTTGTTTACTTTTTAGGGTTTCCCGAGTCAAATAAAACTTCCCAAGCGAGGAAATTGTGTTCGTTAGAGAAATTAAAAATGCGACAAGTAAAAAAATTATGTTCACTTGTGTTGTGTAATTAATTGATTGTCGATTTCCAACTTCTTTAATTGGCTAACACAGGTGGCTTTAGAAAGTCCTTATGCATATTCATTTAAAGATTTTTCCTTACAAAACTACATTAGGATACCTTCACCGAGACAATTAATTTGATGTTCAAAGCGGTTCAAAAGGATTTAATGCGCCTGCCGAGAAATTAAAAGTTTACGCTGAAGCTTTCTTGTGCGGCTTATGTGTGTGTGGAGCGCGCAAAAGGGGCATGTCCAGCTAGTAAAAGAAAAAGAAAGCAAAGGAAGAACAATAATGAGGAGGCATATCGCATAAAAAAATTTTTTCAGGACGAAGGACGTAATACTCGCCCTTACAATTTTTTCACAATTCTTGCGAATTTCGGTCCACATTATAAGGAGAAAGGTGTAGGATATTTTCGATAAGATATTTGCACATTTGAATATTCTCTATTTACCAAAGGTTCGTCTATTTTTCGTTCCAAAATTGAATCTCTTTATGCAAATGCTCGCTGATCGTTCGAAAATCAATATCTCGAAAAAGTCTTACATATTTTTCTAGCTGTAGATGTGTAGATCATTCGTCTTTTTTTTTCGTCCAAAATTGAACTAGTTATGCTCTGCTATGCTGGTTTCGTTACAGTTATAAAGCCATTTCGATTTATACGCTATCGACTGCCATCAACAACTCACAGTTAGGTAACAAGTTGCTCAGTAAACAGAAATGTCAACTCAAAATTGATAATTTCTTTCGAGTTAGTTTGACAACGAGAGACGTAAGCCGGACCTAGATTGAAATTTTCGAAATGGTAAAATGGGCTTTAACTTGAGTTTCCACATGGCAGCTGCAGTGGTTCGTAAGTGCTAACGACAGTTACTATATTGTCCCATAAGTCGTTCTATTACGCACCATAGTCATCAAAAGCCGTTGTAGACTATAGATTAGTTTAACATGGGACTGGATATTAATACCTATTTGTTTGCAACTGTATCTTTTCATATAAAATTTACGCGATGCCAATGCTTTTGAGGGAGCACTGCTCACACCTTTCTATTAAGAAAGCCCGTTTTCAGTTTATATATTTTTGCGGTCTGGGGCAATGTCACAGAACTTGTACTCAATGCGCCGTGGAAGTGGAACCAGGAAGCTAGAAAATTATCGCTGCCATACGGAGGTCTAACGGTCACAAATCGCGGTTATCGTCACTCAGAGAATATTCTAACTCAAGTACTGAGGCTTTAAAACAAAGTTCGTGGCTTTATATTTCGGGGCATTCTGTCCATTTGAAAATTGAGCAAATTAACTAATCAACTTGTATGTAGAGAAGTAAATACGCGGTGAAACACTTAGATGATCACTTCCTTTCAATATAAATAATAAACATGTAAGCATAATTAACTTCAAGTGCATTACATTGTAAGCGATAAACCGAACTCATGTAAACCAAGCGTATGGAGAGATTTCAATACTTTGTTTGCTTAGCAAGGAGAACAATACAATGCAACAATAATCTCTTCATAGAAACTCATTATGTTAAATTATAAATTAATGAATGAACATTACACGTCACACTGCGTGTAGTTTGACGTTTGGCTTACTTAGTGTTAGTTCTATTGATGTTTCTTTTATTCTGTTTACTCAAGCATATTTACTTGTAGCATTAAGACCGGGGTTATATGCATTTTGTCAAAGGGAGATTCGGAGATCCTCTAAAATATATATATATATATATATATATATATATAT